ACCAGTAAAACAGTGATATATCAAATGCTAGATGAGACTGATAAATTATTTTTAAAAATGGTACAAAGGAATAAAAGGGATATTTCTATCACAAATTTTATAATAGACATTCATTTCGTATTAATTTTAATTGTTCAAAAAAATGACTAAAAGTCTGATGGAGGCAGTGGGAGATAGGCACAGCTTCCTTTGAATCAACTGATTGTTTAAGGATGCCCCTCCCCCCCAAACATGTCCATTCATTTTGACAAAGAAATCTAATGAGGAGAAATTTAGTATTTTGCATTCTTTTTCATATTATAGTGATTCTATAAACATATTTAATATTGAGTGCTATTGCCTAAATATGATCTATTCTATATAATGCCAGTAAGAATAGAATCAGACTGCTGCTGCCCCCAAAAAAACCTTTGATCTGCCGATCCTTTAATGTTAAGCTTTATAGTGCTTTAGATACAATTGCAAAAAAGTGGTTTGAAGTTTGTGGGGACACAGACACACCATTCCTGCATACTACTAAAGCAGCTGCATGTTTTTTCAGACTGCACAGCGTTTCAGAAAGCAGTTGTACAATCCTGGCTAAAAGAACCACATAAAGCAATAGCAACAGCATTAGACTTATATACCGCTCCACAGTGCTTACAGCACTCTATAAGCCAGCAACCCCCAACCTTTTGGGTACCAGGGACCAGTTCTGTGAAGAGAGGTTTTTCCATGGACCGGAGAGGGCGTGGTTTTGTGTGCTCCCTCCATCCTGCGGATGGGGCTTCACTTGCTTGAGCGGCTCAGCTGCTGGCCCACGAACTGGGGGTTTGGGACCCTTGCTCTAAGCAGTTTACAGAGTCAGCATATTGTGCCCAATATTTTGTGTCCACATTTTACCGACCTCGGAAGGATGGAATGCTGAGTGAACCCTGAGCTGGTGAGAATTGAATTCCTGGCAGCAGAATTAGCCTGCTTTTGTTTTTACTTTGTCATTATGGGGTACTGAGTGTAGATTAATGAGAAAGAAATGAATTCCAACAACAGGCTGCAGCATAACAAAATTGACAGAAATGAAGGGGATTCTGAATACTTCCTCAATGCACTATGGATGGTTCATTTGTGCTCTGCAAGCCACAAACCACCTTTTTTGGTCCTGAATGTCATGAATATCAGCCTTATATGTACTTTATGCTATATATTAAGATATTTGACTATAAGTTTTATATCAAGTCTTTTAATCTGAACGGGAATATAAATTTGTTTTAATATTAATGAAGTGTTTGGACTTGCATAAATCAGTTATATTTCTAACAGCTGCACAGAACATTTATTTTGGCCTAGGTTATGACATATTTGATAATAGTAGATATAGTAATAGATATATTAAATAATGGTGTTATCTTCACTGATGAAGTCAATTCAAATCAACACACATGTTCAAAACCACTCATACTCAGTTTATGATGTTAAAGGGAATGGCAATAGGGAATGTTTGTAGCTCCTAACATGGGTGAAATGCATTTATAATGTAAAGTTTTGGGTAATATGTTCAGGATTGTCAGCAATGTTAACGTATTTTCCGTGCAAATACATTGGGATGTGGAGTAACTTTCAATCATTAATTCCGCCCCCCCCCAAAAGGGGAGGGGGGAATAAACTAATATCCTCAAACAGATCCTATCGGAAAGTTCTAGATAGGACAGCAATGTAAGATTGTGTATTTTGCCTAGCTTTAAGATAAATGAGGCAGTGATAATATCAGCAATAGCAGTTCAGAAGAATTTACGTCAGAAAAGTTTTGTCTGTTTTAACACAAAAATTGGTTATTTTGCAGCTGATATGGGTTTTGCAAGGCTATTCAATTCTCCTCTTAAGCCACTGGCAGACCTTGACCCAGTTGTGGTGACATTTTGGTATAGAGCTCCTGAATTGTTACTTGGAGCACGGCACTACACAAAGGCAATTGGTAAGTGTTTTGTTTTAAAAAATATAGCTCAATAACTATCAAAATTATCAATGTGCAGAATAAATGTAAGAGTTATAAAGCTCTTAAGTAGTTAAATACTTTAAATGTCTACTCCATTTCAGAAATAAAACACAGATCTGTTAATTCATACAAATAAAGGCATGCCCATATTACAAGTACCATTATTGGAGGATGTTTCACAAATATTTTGAATGTGTTTCTGTCAGACTTAATAGCTTTTTATTCCAAAAATATCCAATTGCCATTTCCTTTTCTGGTCTCCTGGTGTAAAAGATCCTGTGTTTTAGGTCATCTCTGTCCAGAAACCTTTTTAATCTGCAGGAAAAAAGAGCAAAATATTCTTATCAAATCATTTCCTCTGTCTACCTTCACCAGTCTGGGTTGTCCAAGTGTACATGGGCTGCAACTTCCAGGTTCTCCAGCCAGCATGAACCCTTGAGAATTCTCGGATTGCATTTCTGACAAATTTTGATGGTGTCTGGTTAAAGAAGGTTTTGCTTTGGCCGATAATTTTAAAACCTGCTGGAGTTGAAGAGTTGAAGAATATACTATGCTGATGCAGCCATATAAGGCCATGTTCCTCTAATGGCCACTTAGTAACCATCTTCTATTTTATTTATCAATTTTATTTGATAGACTGAACTGGCTGATACTCCTGCAGAACCATTATCTACATTAATTACATCACTGCTTTCAGAGATCACCCTCCTTTGCCGTTAGCTATCTCATATATTTAATTTCTTTGCCTTATTATCTCTCATTCCTTTTCCACACTCAATGTTGCATTGCTTATCCTGGAAAAGAATAGCCCATGTGTATGATTCTCTGAGGGAATAATGAAAAAAAAGATGTTCAGAAATGACAGCTAAACAGTGAGGAAACCTGTGGAACAGGTGGGCTCTCTTACTTGGGTTGTAAAAATGCAGAATTCTGAACATCCTTTAGGTACTCCTATTTCTATGATATAATAATGAAGTCACTATACATGCTTTTGAGACACTGCCATTGAACTCTATTGCTGTAGTGTATTGCTAATTCTTATTTGAAAAAGCAGAAATATGTATGTGGGAAAAGAAGAACCAAACATTTTTTTAAATTTTCTATTTCTATTCTGTCATTCTTCTTTTCTCATTGTCTTTTCAAAGTAACATTATTATAAATGTGACCCTGTGTACGTGTATAGAATATTGAACTTAAATATGAGACATGGATTTTAAAAAGTAATTTTCCTCTATTCCGATTCCTGAATACCCAGTGGTTAAGAAATATTCTGTGTCTAAAATAGTTTTGCTTCACTAATCTTATACATTTAGGAAATGTTTAAATGTTCTTTGGGATGGGAAGAGAATGATCTTCCAGTTTCTCTACTTGACTTTCTTTTTTTTATTGGATCTATGTCTTTAATCTTCCACGATCAGGAAAAAAAATAATTTATAGATCTGCTCTGAACATTCTTATTATCCTTGCTGAACCAAAATGAACACCCCAGAGCCATGTTCATTACTGAAAAATGCCCAAAATTTGTCTGAAAAAATACTAATTTGGGAACTTTCTTTAGGGAGTTAGGGGAATGGGAACGGTTTAACTTCCAGAGGTGTCATGTTCCCATTCTCAGTCATTAGAGATGAGTCTAGTGTGTTTTTTGGTAGAAAACTTAATAGTAGACTTAATATTTCTTCCTTGGCTATAGAGCAGGGGTGTCAAACACAAGGCCCGCGGGTTGCATCTGGCCCGAGATGTGGTTGGATCTGGCCTGCAGGGCCATTCTGGAAAATGTAAGGAGCCTGCCCGCGTTGCTTCAGCCCAGTCTACCCAGTGTGAAGAGGAAACATCAGGCCAGCATGGCTTCAGCCCAGTCTATCCAGTGTGAAGAGGAAACATCAGGCCAGCATGGCTTCAGCCTGGTCTACCCAATGCAAAGAGGAAACATCAGGCCAGCATCACTTCCATCTGGTCTACCCAATGCAAAGAAGAAACATCGGGCCAGCATAGTTTTGGCCCGGTCTACCCAATGCAAAGAGGAAACATACCAGCAGTTTGGGGAGTGGTGTCAAGCTGGCCACCCCCACCCACCCAGCCACAACCAGTTGGCCATGCCCCCCAGTCCCCCAAGTTCAACCCTAGCCCTGATGTGGCCCTCAATGAAATTGAGGTTGACACCCCTGTTGTAGAGGAACCTACTTCACTTCAGTGTTTTGAATTCAGCTGTGTGTTAATTAGTTTCTCCTGCATTGCATATTCCACTGTAGCAGCTAACTTGCAATTTATAAAACATATGAGAATGGAAGAATAAGGTATAAATATTTGATATTACACATGCCAGGCACAGGCAAGCAAATCCACTTGTGAAAAGTCCAAGTCAACAACTTTATTGTGTTCTATCTATATTACAAGATTCTCCCTAGACTGCTTCCTTTGCCTTGGAAACAATCCATAGAACTTTGGGCGGAGGGGTCAGACTTGTGCCTCTTGTGGCTATGCAGGGACTCAAGGCTAGTTCCCTGTTTGATCCCTTCTCCCTGCCTGCCTGGGAGTTTCCCAACATTACAGTAATATAACTCACATGTCAGCCCTTGGATCTCTTGGATATACTGTATTAATCTACTTCCCCTCCTAAATAGAATGGGAACATTGGGCCTGTCTTCTGATACCCAGAGAAATACTTCATAATAAGTTAAACTACTATTCTTGATCAATACATACTCCAACACTGTCAGTTCATACTGGAGTAGGACATATCTTCTGATTTCCTGTTGTAGAAGGCAATCAAACATAGAGGACTTGAAGGACAGGAGGAAGAGCTGCTACCAAGGCAACAGTCAGATAAATGGGCTTGAGCCCAGACCAAGAAAATAATTTAAGAAAATTTCTCAAACAAGCCCTAGATAAGGGAGGAGAGGATGACACACTGACATTGAGATAACATGGTTGCTATTGGCCCTACAATGTAAAGCAGACTTCGGAACCAATGCCATATATAGGTCAACATTATTTTTACTCTGACTACTATAATAACAGAATTTTGCAAGTCTGAGTGTGTCTTTGCCAGCACCTTACTTTATTGTCTCAAGGTAGGAGTGGCTTGAGACATTTTCTCAAGTTATTTTCTTGGCCCAGGCTCATGTGCTGCTCTTTTTGTTTACTTATTTAAAAGATACACTCACTACCCTTTGGGTGAGGCTTCAGAATTACATGCAGAAACATGATAATACTTTCAATATATAAAATGCAGTCATTGGTGAAGAGAATGAAACAAAGATATAGAATGCAGATGAACAGAAGACTTGGACTGAATTGGACAAAAGCACGTTGAAACCAATTATCAAGCTAATTTTGAGATGGTGAAAGTAACAAAGAATAATTTTTCACTAATGTTGAATTCTTCACAGTTTTGTCCTGCAGGGATTTTTCAAATTCTTTTTATAGATTAATTAAAGGGAGAAAATCCTGGTTGAAGTCTTGATTACCTGTTGAATAGATTAGATTGCTCATGATTCATGCAAGCCATTATTGTTGAAAAGTTTATGAAGCAACCACATGAACCTAATAAATAATGTGACTGCTTCAACCGTTCAAAGAGAGATGCTTCATGTATGCTCCCAAAGCACCTCTTTATAACAAATTGTACAACCACAGTATCTTTATTTCCCTTCAGAAGGCTTGTGATCAAATTTCTTCAGCAGTCTTGTGAAGGCTTCCTTCTTAATATACCTTCATTGTCAAGTTCTACCCAATTTGGTAAATTCAGAAATATTGCACTGCAGTTGCTTTCCTTCTGGGTTTTGGCCATAGAGCTCATTGGTGATTTTTTGATCACCCAACCTATCTTTATCAGGTTACTGTTGTGAGGATGACATTAGAGGAAACTTCATATAACCAGCCTTGAATTGTTAGGAGAAAAGTGAGATTTAAACCCTTCATTCAGTTATTGGTTCATTGAGTTCCTTTAACTTGTACTTAGTTGATCTGGCATGTGGAAAATGTAGCATTTCAGAAAATACAGTCTTCCAGTATCCAATTTAGTAACTTAATTTGCCCTTCCAGAATTTTAAAATTAGATTTTTTTTTCACACCAATGATGCTGGTATGCGGTCTGATTTCTCCTACATCCCCATCCCACGTGTATTAGCTGTAATGAATGTGCAGAAATTCTATTTCATGAGATCCAGACATAGAAGGATTAAAAAGTCATGTTAGTAGACCTGTCCATATAGATAATGGGCAGAAACAATTGAAGCCCAGAAAAACCAAAGGCAAGAAACCAATCAAGAGGCTCAATATCCCCTATAGATTTTTAAAGTGGAAAAGCAACCTCCATTTTGTCTTTGCTTTTGTCTTCAGTATTTTTTTCCCATTAAGGCTGCCTGAAGACAAATTCAGAGGAAAGCCTCCATCCAGCAGTCATTAAGCTGGAAATTAGTGAAATTGGACAGCAAGCTAACACTAGTGAAGCTAGTTGTAGTATAGCTCCTGTTCTTGTGAGGAGCAGGTGGGGGAGGAAGAGTTCAATTTATGCACAAAAGGCAGGTGTTTTTATCCTTAGGTAGCAATGAACTTCCTGAACTCCACATGGGTTTTGCTCCTTTAGCCTGAACAGCTATGTGGGGCTTGATAGTTTTATTTTATGAGCATTTTGTGCATTTGTTGAGATCTTGGATCTGATGGAACAGCTAACTCATTCCTTTCATAAAGTAACTGTCTATTCCTTTCTTCTTTTTTTACTTACTTCTAAATCTTAAACCTAGATATAAGCAAAATGGAAAGTTCTTAATGAGCCAGAGGGTCTCATTCTGGGAAAGGAATCCAACTTTTAGCACAGATCTCCAGGCCTCTAAAGGAGCAGGGTTATCACTTACATCTTGGTAAATCGGCAATAGAAGGGGATTTTCCTGGAGTAACTTGACTAGTAGCATTCATTTCTGACTATGCCAAAGAGTTGTAGGGAGAATTGACAGAATAATGGAAGTTGAGACCCATTGTGGGAATGCAGGGGATTTCAAGCTGTTCTTAATCCATTATTCCATCCCATTTATATAAACTGACTTGATAGGTAGACTTCAAGCTGTTCGTTACCCAGGAGTAATACTGTGAAAGGACTTTTCTTCTTCTTTGCAATTGATATACTGTAGATTGTGACTACTTGGGAACAGTCCTGCTAGATTTTGAAAAAAAAAAAAAAAGCATTTTATTTTCCTGGTTTGCTTTTCTGGCTGGATGTCCTGACTAGATGTCTGACTAATCCCTGACATGATTCTCATAGATTGCAACCTTAAATTGAAGCTTTGGAAGTCCTTTCTCTTAGCTTCTGTTGACTCCCTAGAGATTTCTGTTCACAGTTTTACACCATCTGTCATCTCCAGCTAAAAGATACTTAGCTTTGTCTTACCACAGACTCCAGATAATAAGCTGGGTAAGTGGATTATATCAAATAATTCAGAGCAGCAAATTGAAAATGTGATTGTGAAAAGATTCTGAAGGATCTCTTTAACCTGGAGTGAATAGTCACTTACATAACAAATAGAGTCAATTTAAGTAAATGTAAGGCAATGCACAATGCCAAAACTCTTGGCTGAATGTACAGTCCACTGATGTGGTCTGAACTGCCTATAACTAAGAAAAGTATCTTGAGGCCACAACTCAGTAAAGATACTAGGCAACAGCTATGAAAAAGGCAAATTCTGTACTAAGGATCATTAGGAAAAAGATTGCAAGTAAAACTCCTAACTTGGTAATCTCTTTGTACACATCTTTGTTTGCTTATTTATTTGTTAGATTAGTTTGCCGTCCATCTCACTTTGAGGTGACTTGAGGCCGCTTACAATATTAAAAGCCAGTAAATCCATTAAGAATGTGTCTAATAACAGTAAAAATTACAAGGAATGTTGTGCTCACATCTGGAATATTATGCAGCATTCTGGACACCCCTAGAAAAATGTGCTGGAAAAAGTGCAGAAAAAGCCAACTAAAATGATCAAGATATGCAAACACTTTCTCTGGGACAAACCCTAGAATTTTGTAGATTCATGCATAATATCATGCATGGCATGGAGAAAACAGTTGGGGAACATTTTCTCTCTTAAAATATTGGTGCCAGGAATCCTTTGCTGAAGCTACGTGGAAAAAGAGGTAAAAGAGATAAAGTGTATAAGTAACCTGTGGAATTCATTGCCACAAGGTTAAAATAGAATAGAATAGAATAGAATAGAATAGAATAGAATAGAATAGAATAGAATAGAACACAACACAACACAGTTATTGGTCAAGTGTGATTGGACACACAAGGAATTTGTCTCCAGTGCATAAGCTCACAGTGTAGATATAAACAGCAAGTAATAGGTTACAGATCATAAATCAAAAGAAACCAATAGGAGAAGATAGTAGGAAGATGAGAAAAGATGAGAAATGATATATTCCTCACTTGACACAACTCACACCTGACCCATCACAAGACCCATCAAAAAGACCATCAAAAGACCCTGACCTGATGTGACCCTCACCAGACGTGACCTCACGATCACAAGACTTACTAACCACACAAAGCCCTTACAAGCAGAAGAACACCAACACTGATATCCCTAAATTCCAATGAAGACGTGACCTAAGCCTGGTAATGAAACTTTAAGAAACTAACCCACAAGTTCAGAGAATGAACCTCCACCCTCAACTATCTTTGTGTCTAGTTGCTTCGGCATGTAGTGCTCTGTGGTAGCATCCTGAGGGAAGAAGTGGAAATACATTATGTCCAGGATGTGAGGGGTCTGTAGATATTTCTCAGCCCTTTTTCTAGTTCCTGCAGTATACAGATCTTCAATGGAAGGCAGACTGGTGATGATTTTGAAGTCTGTATCTGATCTGTTTGGTGACTGTGCTGAACCAGATGGTTATTGAGGTACAAATGACAGACTCAATAAATCCTCTGTAGAACTGTATCAGCAGATCCTTGGGCAGGATGTGCAAAATTCATTGAGGCGGGAGTAGAAATTACTGTTTCTTTCTGAGCTATGAACCTTTCCTAGACTTATACCATTCTGGGAAAATTGGAGGAGGTTTGTGGTGTTTGCGGTGTTCTTGAGATGGTCCAGTCCTCAAACAGGATTGTTTCTTCCAAAATGATGCAGGAGATTGATGACTCTAAATGAAATAGGATGGGCACTGCATAGCATTTTTGTCTACTTTATTTTATTCTATTCTGTCTGCTCTTTCATGCCAAGGGAGCTGTAAGCATAAACTTTTATTTAAAAACATGGTAATACCTTACTCATTTGAAGAAGGTTCTCAAGTGAAATTTATGCATGGTTTGTTCATCTTGCTATAATATCATTATTTCATTTTTTGTTTGACTGTTATACACCTACTGTGACAAATATTAAATGTATTTTATTTTCTAAAAAGCAGTTTAGATTTTATATCCTATTTTGTTTCCTAGATATATGGGCTATTGGCTGTATATTTGCTGAGTTATTGACTTCAGAACCTATATTTCACTGTCGTCAGGAAGACATCAAAACAAGCAATCCTTTTCATCATGATCAGCTTGATCGTATATTTAGTGTCATGGGATTTCCTGCAGGTAATTCAGTGACCGTTAAAATATATAAGAAATCTTTGATCTGGATTGTTTTCAGTAAATTGATCTTTCTTCATATTCATGTATTCCATTCAAATACAATTTTATTACGGCTTTTGGTCAGAAAATTCATATGCTTGTACAGGTAGCCCTTGACCTAGGATTACAATTGAAACCAAAATTTCCATTGCTAAACAAGACAGTTGTTAAATTAGTTTTGTCCCATTTTACGGCCTTTCTTGCCACAGTTGTTAAGTGAATCACTGCAGTTGTTGAGTTAGTAATGCAGTTGTTTAGTGCTTCTGGCTTCCCCATTGACTCTGCTTGTCAGAAGGTCACATGACCCAAGGAACCACTGCATCCATCATAAATACATGCCAGTTGCCAAGCATCTGGATTTTTATCCGATAATCATGAGGATGCTGTAATGGTTATAAGTGTGAAAAACTGTCATAAGTTACTTTTTTTCAATGCCATTGTAACTTTGAACAGTCACTAAATTAATGGTTGTAAGTCGAGTTACTATAGAATATAGGGTAGACTGTTTCTAGTAGCTTATCTTGTGCTTCTTTAATATTTTCCAAATTTTTACTTTACAAAGATAAAGACTGGGAAGACATTAGGAAAATGCCAGAATATCCTACACTTCAAAAAGATTTTAGAAGAACAACGTAAGTTGTATATTTCTGGTCATTATGTTTTAAATATATAATTATCAGTATATAGTTTTTATTATTTTTATTTGGGTGGTTAGGTAGTAGGAAGGAGCATGATGTAGATTTAGACGTAAAGTTTCATCCTTCTCTATCTTTCTTTTAATGAAAGGATCGTGGTTTGCAACAAATTCTTCCTTTGGGGGGTATGAATTTCAGGAACACATTTGGCAAACTTAAATAGAAGAAAATGGGATAAATTCAATATGACCAAAAAACTATTTGATTTAGACAATATGTGAAATCTCAGTTATCATTTCATTATAGAATTTTTTGTCATATCGAGACTTTTATTACAATACATAACTCTAAATCATGAGTTGTATCTGAACATGGCTACTGTACAGGTAGTCTTCACTTACTAACTGCACTTGAGACTGGCAACTAAGGAACACAGTCATATAAAGTAAAACATCACATTACCATGCCCAGCTTATAATGTCAGTTAAGCATGTGTGCCATACCATGACTTTCACTTACTGCCAATTTCCCCATTGACTGCTTGTTTAATGTCAGCTTTGAAGACTGGAAATAGCGATCACATGTCTGTAGGATGCTGCAACTGTCATATATGTGCACCAGTTACCAAGCATCCAAATTGTGATCACACAACTGCAGGGTTGCTGCAATGGCCATATATTCAACCACTTATAAATTTCCTTTTTAGTACTGTTGTAACTTCAAATGGTTGCTGAGCAAGGCATCAATAAGCAAGGATTGTATTTTAAAATTCATTCTTGAGGCTTAAAATACAAATGCTTTTGATGTCCCAGTTAGATTAGTATCGTTTGATATACAAGTTGCCCTTCAGCTACTTCAGAAGAAGTGGGAAGCCTTCTGTCATATGACAACAATTTTTTTCTGGAACTTGAGGGTCACCAGCCAGAGACCAGGTGCAAATTAGTGGCTTGTTAAAGCAGATATGTGCTTTTAACTGCCTGTGTCACTAGGAATAACTGATCAACCAAAGGATTTATGATCAGTATCAAGATCAAGTGTAGGTCAACTTTAAAGATTCTTTTTTCAATAATCTAGTTTAATGGATAATTGCTTTTTAGTTGCTGTGTTTAGAAGTTGAGAATCAAGTCCTAACAGGAAGAGTAACCCTAACAGGGACAGTAAATTATATCAGAATTGAGGGAGTTGCATTGTTTCCAAACTCACATCAACATGTAGCAACTTGTCCCCTTCACGTAAGTTGCTCAGTTTCAGTTCCCATCACCTTTAACACTTTAAGAATCACAGATTCCGATTATTAGGCTATGTGCCTAGCAAATAAAATATTTATTGAAGGCCCTTCTCCAGATATTTTACTACCTCTTGGAATTTGGGTTGATGAATAGAACAAAGGTTCAGATTACCACATTTCATTTGTGATCATAGATAATCCTATTTTCTTATGTAGTACTGACATATCTGGTTTCTAAAAATTGCACTGCGTTCTGTATGTCCTTGCTGCTGTTCTGGTGGAATGTTGCAACCCATATATGATAGTCCAAACCTTATCTTACTTTTCTTGAGCATCCAATAGGATTTCATCTGCATTTTTAGAATATTTGCTTCTATTTTAATTTTTATTTCTGATTTCATTAACTTTGGCGAGGGGAGAAGATATGTATTACTCATTGGACACAAAGTAGTTATGGAATATAATGACACCTTCAAGACTAGCTGATTTTATTGGGCATTAATTTTCTAGCAGATCACATCCACAGATCCATAGTGTGGGCTTGCATTCTGCGTATCTGATGCAGTGAGCTGCTATTCACAGATTATGTCCCAGTGAAGTTGATTAGTCTTGAATATGCTATCAGACTCCGTATCAATTTTATTACCTTGGCTTCTGCTGCCTATTGCTTGTATGCTTTAATTGTTATTTTCACATTAGTTTTATTAGTCATTTCAGATTTTGTTAAAAAGGAGTATTAATTGAAGTTTCTATATACATGTAAACACACATTACGATACTTTAGAGGAACCTAGTTTAGTATATCTTTATAACTGTTTTAATTATTCCACAGTAGAGCCTATTTTGAGATTAGTTTTATCTATTTTTTCAGATAAAATGGGATTGGCACCTGTATAATAGAGATAATTAATAAAAAGATAATTAAAGAAAAAGTGCCAGTGCTATCTGTATGTGGTTCATTGTTATGCACCAGGAAATAAAAGCTTGTGAAATGTAATTAACATATACAGTAGTACATGTTGTAAAAACAATTAAAATTTTGATTCTACATTATTCTTTTGATTTCGTCTTTTGTTTCTTTTTTCAGATATGCCAATAGTAGCCTCCTCAAATACATGGAAAAACACAAAGTCAAGCCTGATAGCAAAGTATTCCTTTTGGTAAGTGACATAGAGGCTTTATTTTGCTTTTTAAGTAAGTTACACTCTTTGTATCAAATAGCTGTAGAAGAAAACCTTGTTGCTGCTGAAGTAATCTTTTGTTTTGTAAAGTTAACTGTGATCCTTTACATTTCTACTCAGATGTAAGCCCCGTTCAGAGATGCTTAGTCTCAGGGAAAGAATATATAAGATGTCACTCTTACTATATTCTGGCAGAAAATGAGGTTTAAAATGCATAGATCTAAAATATAATGCATAAAAGAACTTTAAATCTTTCCAGTTGCCAGAATATCCCAGTATTTTAATATTATTTAAAGTTTTAGCTGCACCAACAATAATAATGATTAATAATTCTTGGACTAAGTAATTTGTTAGGTATATATCTCCTCTTTTCTTTGGGAATTTAAAATGGCATGCTTGCTTTCCGTTTCTCCCTAAAAGACCACGTGGCATAGGCTGAGCTGAAAATACTGGCTGGGCCAGTCATCTACTCAGCTTCCTTGGCTAAGCTAGATGCTCCATACGGTTCTGTCATTGATTGCCAAATCCATCCAAGCAACTTACTTTCATTTCTGAATATCAATTATGGCGGGAGAACAAATATAACAGGAGCCTTCTGTTAGCTCCATGTTTAGATGGAGGGAGAACCAGTGTGATGGAATGAAGCTCAGATCAGATCAGACTGCCTGCCAGAATTGTTTCCCCTTCTCATGCTGGGCTCAATGTAAGGGAGACTTCTACATTTTAGGTTTTCTAGTTTATGTTTTCTAATTTAAAAAAAACAAACAAATTTTATTAATTTTACAATGAAAAAAACCAATCTGATAAAATATGATACAATTTAAGAAGAAAAGATCTTACAAACTGTTTTTAAGTGTTCACTCTCCCTTCTTTCTTTTTCTTTCTTTTTCCTTTCTTTTTGTGTTTCTTTCTTTCTTTCTTGCTTTTTTCTGGTTTTGTTTGTGTATATGTTGTAGATTTGTTTATGTTTTCTAATTTTTTAACTATATGATATTTTCCGTATATAGAATCCTGTAAGTTTATTTGTATTTGTTTTACTTTAGTATTATTGGTCATAATACTAAATACATAATGCATGTCATTGAGTTTTACTGAGAAATTCATATAAGCTGGCTCCTTTGCAGCTTCAAAAACTTCTGACTATGGATCCAACTAAAAGAATTACCTCAGAGCAAGCTTTGCAGGATCCTTACTTCCAGGAAGACCCGTTGCCTACATCAGAGTATGTTTTTTTTCCTGTTCTTTGTAGTCCTTCCTCCACTGCTGTAATTTACTTTCCAAATAACTCTCTAAACTTATATAAAAGTAAAATAATAGCTGTAATGTGTGTTTGATTATATCTCTGAAATATCCATTTTATAACATAAAAGATATATCTTTTATAATAGACCCATACTCAGATTTAAAATGGCATATCCAAGGTTCCATTCTTAAAGTAGTGTGCATAGTAGGGAAATTTATATTTAAACAGAATTGAATGTAGAAATAGACAGAATATATTCCAGTCATTTATGAACATTTCTTTGCTAGTGAAAGATTTCATTTCAATTTGCAGTCTCTGAGGAAATGTTGCAGAGGTGATAGATGCCCTACATGACATTATTATCAGCTTTTTCTCTTTTCCTCCTGCAAGTTTTGCTTCAATTTCTATGCTCTTTTACTGGGTATTAAATCATTTAATATATGAAACTTCATTTTGAGTAAACATGGATAGGACTGCATAGTAAATTGCTTGAATTTTACCCTAAAGGGTGAATACACTAGATCTGTTTTGCTTAGTGAGGTAACAAAGGTTTGCTGATGAGGAAAAATATTATTTGCTAAATCCTTTTTAAGCACCAGTAATGCTAAAATTATATTAGAAACTCTTTTTGAAATGAATGCTAAATTAGATAGAAACTTCAAACCAATAATTCTTATGCTGCACATACGTAGTGCTTTTCAACTGATTTGAAACAAAGACTGATATTGAGCAATATTCTCAAAAATAATTATAGACTTTCTATATTATTTTGGGAGGATTATAAACAAAATGGTATGTGCTACCATCTTGGTACCAATACGTAATTATTAATGCTTTTTGCTGATGGTTTTTTAAGGAATTGGGGGGGAAATCAGCACTTTTTCATAATGAATTACTCTTGATTTACTGTTCATATTTTCTGACACACATAAATTGATAAAACAAAGACAATTCAATTAAATTCTTTTTCTTTTGCTATCTTGTTCGTTATTGCAAAATATTGGAAAAGTACAGGTAGTCCACACGTTACAATCAGTTGCTTAATGACTGGTCAAAGTTACAACAGACTTCAAAAAAGCTACTTGCAATCTGTGCTTCAAGTTACAATTGCCATAGCCTCACCCTCCTAAAACAAAGAGATTAAAATAATTCAACATCAACCTGAAATCGCCATGACTAGTTCATGGAGAAAGACATTAGTGATTTCTAGCTATAGTTTGTATGAGTATGTCTAATATGAAACAACATATTGACTATATTAAAATGAAAGCAAATATTTTTCATTTCATCACATTTCTGCTAAAGATGTCCAAAGTTTTATTTAATTTCTAATATGTTTTTAAATGATTGTAAGATTGTAAGCTAACGTATACTGGTTCAATTCCACTGTTCTAGTGTTTTTGCTGGTTGCCAGATTCCATACCCCAAACGAGAATTTCTTAATGAAGATGAACCCGAGGAAAAGGGTGATAAGGTATAGTTCATAGACCATGTTACCATCAATAAAAAATAATGATGTTTCTGAGGGGGAAAGCTTATAGAATATCAGGTTACTCTGACCAGGATTTCTGGTCAATATGATTGTAATGCGATGTCCTGGGACATATTCAAAAAGGATTGCATGTTGATATGTAATAATTACAAGAAATTAGATAGTTTAAAATTGAATAATCTTTAGTACGTTTAGATAATGGAATAAAAAATAATACAGCTGGAATAAAAAAGGGAAAAGGTCTTAAACCCACATATCCTAATAATGTCTTTAAAAAGTCATCTCTTGGCAATAAATATTCTGGGTGTTGGTTTTATTTTTTTTTTTGTAATGATGGGGTATGAGTAGGAGGAGGATATAGGAAGGGTATTGCTCAGTGACAAAAGAGCATGCACTATGAAGGGTCCAGGTACAATCCTTGATATCTCTCATTAAAAGGCTCGGGTACCAAGGCTCTGGTATCAAGTACCTTTCACCCTGAAGAACTACTGCTTTTCGGTAGAGGTAATTTAGATGTAAAATCCCTGTTGATGTACAACAATGCCTCATATTCCTATGGTAACAGAGAAAAATAAATAAATTAGAAACTTCAAGAAGAGCTTCATACTATCAAAGATCAAAATTGTGGAATTGTGGAAGCAAGCCAAAAGTCTGTTAAGAATGAGAATAAAAGTTGCAGGACATGAAATATTTTAGTAAATGAACTATATTTATTTTTGTTCCCATTAAATCATATTTCAGGCATATGATTGTATTCGTTTATTTATTCAGTTCATATGGTTGTCCATCTGAGCAAGTAACTCTAGGTAGGAAACAAAATTAAAATAAAATAAAAACATTTACAAGAATTAAAATACAAAGCAGCCAATAATAGTCACTAAGAAGCAGAGTCCTGCTTTGATTCTGAGACTTAAGAAAAAGAATTTTCCTTGAGTGGAGCTTGACTCCTAGTGACTGTATAGACTTAGCCATAAAATTTTCTCGGTAAGAATAAAAAATTACTTATTAATTGCTTTATGTCTAGGAGATAGACACAGATCTTTATCTATGGTTTTTGCTCCACTTTGTTTTTCAAAATTGCCACTTTCTGTGACATTAAGTCTGCTGAATTCTAAAATAGATTGTAAATAGGTTTAGTTGTTGCAGATGTTAACAAATGACTCCAGCTGGTTAAATTTCAACCAATTACATTCCATCAGCTATTTTGGCCTGGGGCATCATCACAATCATATTCCTTTGACTAATACACAAATGCAGATTATAATTCGAGCTGGCTTTTCCCATAAGACAATATCGTTCCTGAATATTGTGTCATCTATTATAGTAAAAGTATAAACATGGCTTTAATTGTAATTCTTGGCAGTGATAACAGAGTTGTATAATTAATGGGAGGAATTTTATTTGGTTTGTGTTCTCCTTTTTTCATCTCACAGTGAAAGTTCTTTATTGCATTGAGACATATGGAAAAAGACATACTGACTTCAAAGCCTTTTGTTTAAAAGGGTTGTTTGGCCATTACTGGACCTCAGCATTTAATTGCACTTACTTTGCTGAAAGTTTTTACTCAAAAGTCGACAAACATTGGGACCAAATGTTAAAAGAATAATCTTCTAGTTTGCCTCTTAAGATTTGCTTAAGTTTGTTGTTACATTTCCTTCTTTTCTTGTCCTCAGACTAGTCCAAACTTTCTGATGCTCCTTTGTCCTCTTTATTATTCTGTTCACTGGAGTACTTTCTCTGTCTTTGACCTGACTTGGAAAACCTATGTCCCAATCAGCATCACTCTCTATACCCTGCTATTTTTATAATTAAATCAAAAATTCAGTCCTTTCCTTTCTCTATAGTGGTTTCCATGACTGGCTCCAGGAATTCTGATACTGAACTATAAATTTTGAGTAATATAGATTTCAGCTACTATAAATCAACCAAAGCCATAGATGAAATAGAAGAGGCAAGCACTTAAGCTGTAACTATCTCGTTCCAAGATTTGAGATAAGGATCTATGCAGATTTTATGGAAATTTTATATTCCTATTTTTTTCTCTGTTACTTTTGTGTTAGGGTTTTAAGAAGAATTTCTTTTCATTTCAAGATTTATAGACTGTATATATTTATAAATAACTCAAGGTGGCGAACATATCCAACCTTTCTCTTCCTGTTTCCATACAACAACAATCCTATGAGATGAGTTGGGCTGAGAGAGAGACTAACTGGTTCAAGATCAGCCAGCTAGATTTCATGGCTAAAGCAGGATTTGAATTCACCATGTCCAGCTTTCTAGCCTAGTGCCTTAACAAATTGGCTTTCTTTTTAAAGAATTGATGGGAAGAAGATATGAAAGTAGAAAGCAACGCATCATACATCTTTTAAAAAGCCATTCTTTGGAGTCTTTACTCTAAAAAAAATGAATACCATTGTTTCAAAAATGGAAGGGACAAGCAAAGCCTATTACCTTGAGTATAGAATAGCTAGAAGAAATTGGTGAGGCAATGAAGGAGCCTATATTCATTTAAGAGGCACATAGGTGTCTCATATACATTAACTAATGGTTTTTAAAGATGGCCATTGCAATATGTTTAAAAGACATTCAAACAATGGCTGAATAAATGGAAACCACTATATATATATCTATATATATAAAATCCAATATAGAATTTAAACAATAAGCTTGCTTACAGTTATACCATACATTTTCCTAAGGTGTCTACACAATCCTTCTTGCCTCAATTAGAGATTTGATATCAGATGAGCATGAGAAGTTCAGCCAGTTATATAAAAAATTTATGCCTCAGTGAAGTTTAACCTTTTTCATCCTAGTATAGATGTTCCTATTCCTTAGGCTCTCTAAACATTATATCACCCTTAATGAGCCAGTGTACTGCTTGTGTACATTTCTAGGAATGCTCTGTGGAATAAGAACTACCCTAGGACTAAACCTCATATTTATCCCAGCTCTCTCTCCTTCCCTTGGATTCAATCTAGAATCAACAGCAGCAGAACCAACATCAGCAACAAACAGGACCTCAGCAGCAACAGCAGCAGCAAGCAGCACCTCAGCAGCCGCAGCAACCACAGCCTCAAGCAGCACCTCAACAGCAAAACAGCACCCAGACCAATGGAACTGCGGGGGGTGGCGGGACAGGAGGTGGTGGGACTGGGGCAGGTCTCCAGCATAGCCAGGACTCTGGCCTCAACCAGGTGCCTCCAAACAAGAAACCACGCCTTGGGCCTTCAGGCACGAATTCAGGCGGGCCTGTCATGCCTTCAGACTATCAAGTACGTCCCCTTTTTCTTGTCTTCTTTATATCTTCTTTGGGTTTTTTTCAAGGATTGAGGGGAAATGAGTTAGGAAACACCACCATAGGATGGCTTTTCCTTGAACTGGAATGTTTTTATGGGCCTTGCTCAATTTATAAATGTGTGTATGGATGAAAGCACATATTCCTGCATAAGAAATAATTTATTGCCACTTTTCAGAGTAAATCTTGTTCAAGACAGTTTTCAAAGTTTGAGATACAGGTGTTAGTGAAGGTAAAGTTTCCCTTGCACATACATAGTAGTCGTTTCTGGCTCTAGGGGCCAGTGCTCATCTCTGTTACAAAGCCAAAGAGCCAGCGCTGTCCAAAGATGTCTCCGTGGTCATGTGCGCCTAAGGCACACGGAATGCTTTTATGGTTAATTAAAACAACACCCTTTGTTTTATTATAAGAAATAGATCCAGTTCAGTGAGGTCTTTCCACTGGTCACCCTCCTGGTTCAGTGAAACTTTTTTCATTTCTTTTGATGATAATACTACAGGTGGCACGCAGAGCCATTTGTGCCAGCACATGAGCCTCAGACAAACTTACCTCACTGCACATGTGCCTGCCTCACAGCTGATTTTTGTCTGGTTTGAGGCCTTTTTCGGCCTTCCAGAGGCTTGAAAAAAGCCTCTGAAGGCAGAATAGGCCCATTTCATCATTTCCTGTTAATACCGGAAGTGACGAAACGGGCCTATTCGGCCTACAAAGGTTTTTTTCAAGCCTCTGGGAGGCTGAAAAAGGCCTCAAACCAGTCAAAAATCAGCTGTGAGGTGCAGTGCAGGTAAGGGGGGACTGGAGGATTGCGCACACAGGCACAGGGGCGTTGGGTACATTGCCTTCTGGGTACGAGCGTACAAGCACCAGCACACACACAATTTTTGGCACAGGAGCCCAAAAAGATTAGACACCACTGTTCTATATCCTTCCCTGCCCAGCCATTTGATGGGTAAAGATGTTGGACCATTTTCCATAATTCTTAACTAGCATGGAGACTGAAAATAATGACTGAAAACAATGAAAATAATGACTGAAAATAAGTTGTATTGTTATTATTAAATAAATTGAAATATAATGCTTGTGAAAAGTAAGTTGCTGTATCCAAATTCATAATCTTGAGTGCAGGAGTCTGGTCATTACATGCTGATGGTAATCATCTCTGTAGTTATATGGCTTAATATTCTCTTGTGGCTCTTCAGTGCTTGTTCCATTGGGCTCTGTGTATTATCTCTAGCACATTTATGACTTCATCTGGCCGTGGTAACTGCAACTACAATCATATGATACATTCATTTTTACAAAATTAAAACATATTAGCTGTCACAAATAATAGCATGCTTGTATAAGTGTATGTATGTTCATTAAATGGTTTTTTAGAAAGTTAATACTGAAATATCAATACATATATTCAGGCCTATCAAGTCTGGCATCAAGCTATTTCTTCATATTATGCATTGAATTTTATGAATCCCATTCTTCATTCTCCTTTTCTAAATGCAAATTAGACACGACTGTTTTCATTATATTTATCTAGCTACTTTCCTCTTTGGGTGGCTTTAAGAGAAAGTGTGCCTCAGTGACAAACCATCTTTATTTTATTTGTTCAATGTACATTGTTATGTAGACAATTTGTTTTCTATATTTAAGCATGCTAATACCAAACAAGCTTTCCCATTGGCATTTTATGGAATGGAAAACTTTCCCCATAACCAACATGCTTGAAACGTGGCTAAGTTTATTGATGCTGTGAACACACAACGTATAGGATGTCACTACAACTTTGAACAAATTTTGGATGGTAATCTGGGGGGCATTCCTCGACTTTGTGGGAATGTAGGCAGCACACGGATATGCATCTCTGTCTTACACAATGATTTTGCTTCAGAGAGATAGCTGTTTAAAAGTGCAGCTCAGAATGTAGTCCCATCTTATTCCAGAATGATTGGTTAGCTAGTTTGAACGAAAACAGTAAGTATGGTTAAAATATTAGTCTCTCTTCATGTAAATCTGTGCAAGAAGATGTGTATTTGAGGCTCTGGTTATACATAGATTTCAAGGAGAAGTTTACTAGTATCTTGTTTGTCCCCACTCTCAAATCCAGTTTTATGAACTCAGCTTCAAGATTAAAGATATATTAGATTAATATTACATAATTTTAACATCTGGCTTTTAGTTATTCAACCTAAGTTTTCTCTATTATCAACAGCTAAATATTCCTTAGACAAAGCAGAAGTTAGGGAAAGACGGATATGCCAGTCTCATTTCCGTACGTAAACCTATCCAAAGGAAATGAGAGGGAGCTTCTGCAATAAATCTTTATGGTCATCCTCAATCCCCTCTTTTATGATACAGTTCTGCTTCATAAAAACATTTATTTTTTTGCTTTTTTTTTGTAGCACTCCAGTTCACGCCTGAGTTACCAAAGCAACATTCAGGGATCTTCTCAGTCCCAGAATACAATGGGCTATTCAACATCATCTCAGCAGAGTTCTCAGTACCATCCGTCCCATCAATCTCACCGGTACTAAAGAGACTTCATAAAGGGTGTTAGAAAGGAATGAACTAACAATGAGTGGACTCCAGCAATATGAAGTTCATAACCATGAGAAGAACCAAAAAAAAATGCAAATTGTGATGCAGATTTTAGAATTGCAAACTTTTTATTTACTAATTATTTTAAGACAAGAAGACAGTTTTTATCCTTTTTTGCCATAAAGGAGATTCTTGTGAAGTTTCCCTTCAGCTTTCGCATGTGTTCCATTGTGGTTACTCGATCTGATCTGAACCAAGCACTTAAACTTCTTTAACCTATGGAATTGTTGAAGGATTCCTGGTGCACCTTTCTCGTGTTGTAGTAATTGCCATAAATCTACCCTTTTCCAAATCCTTTTACCAGGATTTTAAATTTTTGGAATCTTGAACTCCTGGGCTTTTCAAGCTTGTATATAGTTATTTTTTTTACTAGGCAGACCAGTTTAGCTATACAGGTATAATGCACCTTTTAAAAGCACTATGTTATTTTCACAGGATATTACTCTTTTGCTCATGGATGTCAAGAACAGCAGATTTTACTATTCCAGAGTATTTTATTATCTTTTTAGTAGTCTAGTTTTCAGATGAGATATTTAAAAAAAAAAGAAGAAAAGACAAATATACAACCCAAGTCTCTGCAGCAGCTATTACATGTTATGTGTTTGGATTGAACCCCAAACAGAAGATTATGAACGTTTCTTTTATCATTCAGATGAGCATCCCATAGATGATTGGTCATTTTCTTCCAAGTGAATTGACTGGAGCTTTGCTTTATATCAAGGTATGGAAGCAAAGCAGAAGACATCAAGTTTTGTGGCTCCGGTAGAACAAATTTGACTAAGTGTCTTCTTTAGTGATTATCTGTTACCTGCAGTGGTGTCTTTGCTCTGTGTTGAATCTCTACAGCTGGGGTTCATCATCAATGGGATAAAGGGCAAAGAAGGCTTTGTCACTCCTTTGGGGAGGCTGGGTAGAGGGACAAAGTGTATATGTGCATCTTTCTTTTGTTTCTTACCTAGACTTTGATTGAATTTTGATTTTGAAACTTGCAGCAAAAACAAACAAAATGTGCTGTGGCACCTTAAAAGACTAATAATTTTGCTCTTGCATTAGTATCTGCCTAGTTGCAGAAGACTTGCAATCATGAACCTGGAGAAGCCATTATTGTTGTTGCTATTATTCCTTCATTATCCAGTTGAAGCAGATCAAATACTGAAAAAGGAGTAGTTGAACAATATATTGAAGTTGCTTAGCCTTCTCATGTACATTATGCATCTGATGTTGTTGTATCACTGCGGTGATTGATCCAGATTAGATATGATAGATAAGATATGCTATACTGAAATGTTTTTTAATCCTAAAACAGGAATAGACTCCATGCTATCCTTCCAGTGTTTTGGACTATAATCCTTGCCATTGGCTGTGCTAGCTAAAGCTGATTAAGAATGAAGGTTCAGGACATCTGGAGGAAGGCACTAGGTTGCCTGTCTCTGCCCTAAGATCTGACCCAAAGAGTCCTGAAGAAATATTGTGATCTTGGACAAGCACTTCACACGAAAAATAACAAAGCTTATGAACAGATCCTATATGTTGGAGACTTGTCGTCTAATTACTAGTTATAGTATCTGTGAACAGAAGCAACATAGACTATGAAGCAACTCCTTCCCCCGTCTATTTTTAAAAGAACTACATAAATAAGGTAGTGCGCTTTATTCAGAAATTTAGAATTCATCGTTGAATTCACCATATTCTGACTTTTTTCCCCTTTTTTAAACTAGATTTTCTGTCATTCTATGTATGAAGATAACTTAAAGTAAGCATTTCTTACTTAACATTTTAGAATGTGAAGGAATGCAACTGAATAGGGTTTTCCTGGGGTAATCACTATTCCTTCCCCACGACTACTAAAAGTGGAATAATTAGAAATCGGTGCAAATTTGTGTTGTTTGTACAAATTGTAGAATTCAATTTCCTTGTGTGGAATTTGGCTCATCATGGTGCAGAAGCTTTTTAAGCATACAAGGCCCTAACTTTATTGCACTAAATGTAAGAGGATATATACTTTAGAGTATATACAATAAGCAGCACTCAGTATTTTAAAAATAATTATTAAAAAAGAGAAATAGAGGAAGAAACCAGGTTATATAGGCATTTTATGGGCATTTACACTATACAACATAAACTTATGCCTTGTGGTTTTTTTCTTCTTATATATAAGAACCCCTTAACAAAAGTTAAAACTTTATACTATGACTGAAATATAAATTTGTGTTGGATATGCTTGCCGCCTTGAGTTATTTGTAAAAAAAATTAAGGCGGGATATAAATAAATAATAATTAAAAAAATTAGACAGTGGATCCACTCGCTTGGAAGGGAAAATTTGATTCTAAGTGTAATAGAGGTGTCTGATTCACGAAATAACAAGTAATTTATTTGAGAAGAAATATAACTGGATCTTTCTCCACCGAAAAACTTTATTTTTTTGTAATACTTTGCGCATCATGTGTCTAAATTAGTTTTGTTGGATGGAATTTGTGTCTTCCATACGAATCTTCAGTGAAAACATTCCTTTTCTTTCATACGTCTCCAATTTTATCTGTCTTACTGCATTCAAGCTAATATCTGGTCAGCAGCTGAGAAGATTATTAAATTTCACTTCGACCAGCTTATGAGCAACCCATTTTCTTTTTGCTACTCCAGCCTTCTTCTTGTAGCAATTGCAACTATTGTGAGCTCTGTCAAAATATAGCTTCCTCTGTGCATGCAGTGTGATGATTACCTGTGTTGAATGTGCTTTATTTCCACGAGCTTCCGATCCCCTTGAATATGGCCATGATTATACTCTGTATTGATATATTTGCATATTTGCTGGAAAATAATGGTTTGATGTGCTCCATTTCCCTGCCGCGTCTGTGCATACATATGTAGCTGTGCTCAATACTTCATGGCCTTCCAAATAAGCATTGACAGGGGAATAGATGAAAGTATAGGTTTACACTTTTGAAATGTTTACTGCACTCATTCTCTATTTGTATCTTGGCTTTGCGGCATACTTGGCCTATTAGGGTGAACTATTTGTGTATAATATGATGAGTGTCTCATGTATTGCAGGGCTAAAGTGAGATAGCTTTGTTTCAGGGGAATTTAACAAATCAAAATACATTGTATAATAAATAATCTGTTGTATGTTATGGAAACAGGACACAGAAACGTTCATAACTGTGCAGCTTCGCTTTAAACCTGCCGTTTTCATGTCGCTATCTCATTGGCTCTCGGAAGTGGACATCGAGCAATTGAATTTTGCCTACCGTCATTCTGCAGTGCTTCTCTTCTGGTTTTTCAAAGAAAAGGGCCAAGAAAATACGATTAGCAAAGCAGGGATGACATGAACAGTAACACAGACTGCATAATGAAGGAAGAATCGTGTGAAAGCTGCAAGTCCCTGCACTGTATCTGTGACACTGTATCGGTCGGGTGGGGAGGTTGGGAGGACATCTTGTTAGGGAAGTGGAAGCTTGAAGTATTTGATTATGTATAATATTTTATATAAACGTAATAAGCTTAGTTCCCCTTCATAATCTTCATTGATGGTACTTAAGTAAAGATAACTGTTTTAAGACAAAAATAAACATACTGTATATAAGATCATGTGTAATCTTTGTTTTGCCAGCAGAGTAATATGTATTGCTTTAGGGGGGAAGTCTTTTAATGCACTGTTATCTCCTACATATTTAGCAGTAAATTAATTCTATTTAATTTTTTTCAAAAAAATATCTGTCTTAGTAGACACTAAAAAGTATTATATAATGTGAACTGAAAGTGTCCCTTTTGAACAGCAGTTTAATAATTTTTATATCTGTAAGTAGTTGGGGTTTTTTTGTTTGTTTTATTTGGTCATGTATTACTATTTGTGGAAGGTTGCCTGCCTTCAATTCTCTTTTATACATTATTTGACATATTCATCTTTAGTTCTTGCAATTGTTTTTATTGTATCCTTGTGTGTCTTCTTTAATGTCAGTTCATCAGTAATAATCCATGCTTACCAATATATTTTTTGCCTGTTGATGATAGATGGACAAACATTGCAATAGATATTTCAGTCTCCCCAGTGCAGAGTTGTATTTTTACTTGTCAAGATTTCATGGCATATTTACACTTAACTGAAAATAATTACATCATTATATGTTATATTGGTAAAGTATTATTGATGCAACACTTTGTTCTCTTTTCTTTGTGCCCCTCCCCCAGTCTTTAAAGGATGCCCCAACTACTCCACAGGGAGAGGAAATTAGTGCTGTTGGTGGGATCAATTTCATCAGAGGACAGGTGTAGAAGGATGCAACTCTTTGTATGAGTCTGTGTCTTAACTTCTTAAAAAGCATCTCCAGGCTCACTGTTTAATGTAAACAAAACCCTCCCTGCTCCTAACTTTTTTTACCCACTACCAGCAATATTGATCTCATTTGACTTTCTTATTGATAAGTAAGAAGAATAGTAAGTTAGTTACTTAGGAACTGTCCAACATAATTTCCAAACTTGGCCTTGCTTAAGTAGTGCAGATGAAAGGTGAATAGAGATATGTACAGGGGAATTTAGTTCCTAACATCCCTCAGGTCAATTTACCTTCCCCTGGCTTTGTTTAGTAATTGGCTTAAAATTTAAAACTGTTGTGTTGGGCATTTGCAGCTAAGAGAATCCAACAGACTTTGCCCTCATTAAATATTTGTGCTTTTTAAAATTTCCTTACATTGCTCTCAATAGACTGTTAAAAACTATGTTTTCATTCATTACATCTGCAGTATTTTAATTTTTGTTGTAATTATTTTGAATTGCTTCCGTGTGGATTTTTAAAAATAAATAATATACATTTGTAATAATAAAAAGTTTGAAGTCAAGCAGGCGTTCTATGGGAAATCTGTAAACTTTGGACTGCAGGAGGAATATGACGTGCAATTTTATTTACAACGTTCCTCTTCTACTCAAACACCTCTCAAGAGTTTTACACGCCCCCCCCCCAAATGGCATGATTCATAGTTTAGGAGGTATTTCTCCTAAACGAGGTCCTTTGTGCAATTTTCCTATGCAAAAGACCAGGTCCAGGTGTGAAGGTTCAATTAAACTCTTATTGCTAAAAGCCTATGCACAGGAATCTTCTCAACAAATGGTTGACACTTGCTTAGAGTTAGATATGGGTGAACAGCATTCAAGGGGAGTTGAACTTAGTACTCTTGTGGCTACATAGGGATTCTAGGTTGATCCCCTTTTAACTCTGCCCCCAGGTTCTGCCATCCCTTTTTCTTTGTCAGTCAACTATAACTAATGGAAACAATATAATTATTCTTAAACTATGAGCTGATTAGAATATTTCACCACTAGAGAACTATTGTGATAGACTTGCAGTATCTTTATGGCAGCAGCTCTGTTATTGTAAAGGGTGAATCTAGGCCAATTGAGTGCAGCAGTTTGTGAAGCTTTTGAAATTTCAATATGTATGCATAACTACAACCTGAAACATCTAAAACTTGATAAAGAGAACCCAATTATATGAGTTAAGATGTATACTTCTTCAATTATTGAGTAAAATGATCCAAAGCTACATATTTGTCTGTCAAAAGTATATGAACCTCTAGGGCAGGGGTGTCCAACTCACATTGTCACGACGTCATGTGATGTATTGGGACTCCCCCCCCCCTTTGGTAAACTGGGCATGGGCATGGTCAGCTGGATCATGGGCCATGGGCCATGAGTTTGACAGCCGTGCTCTAGGAATATCAGTTCACTTGAAGGGGAAATTAGAATCAGGTATTTAGTCAATGGGATGATAATCAGGTGGGAGTGTGGGAGGTGCTGCCTTATTTCAAGAATAGAATTCTGGGTATTCATCTAAAGTCTGATCTTCAGAACTCTATGTCTCATAGTTAAAAAGAAAGGAGATTTTTGAGGAACTCCAAACAAACAGTTTTTTTAATGATCAGGCTAGGAAATGTTACAAAACTACTTCCAAAGAGTCTTTGGAGACTAGACCAGGGGTAGGGAAACTTGGCTCTTTTATCCCTTATGGACTTCAATTCCCAGAATTCCTGAGTGAGCCATAAAAGGTTCCCCATCCCTGGCCTATTCTGTATATGTCCTCCATTTGTATATTAAACAGTCCCATTCAAGTCAAAAATTGATTTCCCCCACAACTGAAAAACCAGTAGGCCAGGGATGGGGAACCTTTTATGGCTCACTCAGGAATTCTGGGAGCTGAAGTCCATAAGGAATAACAGAGCCAAGTTTCCCTACCCCTGGACTAGACAATTGAGTACAACTTCATTCCTAAGTGAGGAGGGTTTTTTTTCCTGCTTCAGCTCTCATTGTCTGCTTATAGCAACACTGAAGGAAAGAAGTCTAGAAAATAATGAGCAAATGTGGAGAAAATTGATGTTTCTTTAATGTTACTGTCAAAGCTTTAAGGGGGGTGGAATCATACTGACCATCCTTTTTTTCAATTGTTTCAAATAGCTTGTGATTGGGAAGCAAATATACAGATCACAATTGAATTAAGGGTTGAAATCAGTGTGCTGGTGGGAGAAGATATTATTGTACTTATTTATTTGCAATATTTGTATATGCCCCCAGGCATCAGATTCTGGGCAAGGTAGCAAGTGTGTTAGATTTGTTTCACCAGGAAAATGTGGTTATCGTGAACTTCTGATTATAGAACTAGAGTTATCCCACTTGCTTAACAGAAGTTATATAGAGAGAAATAGCTCCATTAATGTTCATTTGGCATGTGTATCAGTGGAGATAATGACTCACATAGCAATAAGTGGTATAACCTACAATCAAGTGCACCTCTTCTGGATGTTGCCAGTTATAGACAAAAGACAATTCCAAAACCATAGCCTTCAGAATATTGGCCTTCACATCACTGATGCCATTATGTTGCGAATCAATAAAAGCAGCATACAGTACTTACTTTGGCTATAATTCTCAGTACTGTTTGTTATAAAGCTCCAGTATCCTTTTTTGCATTGTTTACCTGGTTATCAGTTGTTTCAATAACAGATCATCATTGAGAAAAAAATGCACAGCGTCCAACTGAGCTTCAATATCTGTTGTGTGTGTGTGAAATCAATATGGTTGTAGGTGGAGAGGGTAATTTTACTTCATTTGCATAGGCGTGTATGGGTGTTAGAATGTTTGTTTTGTTCCACAATTTCACTAGCTTATGCTATATGTTTACTTTACTTATGTAGTCTTTCATTTAGTAATTTTTGATCACCCAGCTGAACATGCAATAGCAAAGGGTGGTGTATTCTCCCTGCCACCATCTGATCTAAATATAGTTTTTCTCAGTGCTTGTCATACATAGGGGTGGGTTTCAGATATACTGTACATGAAGAGGCAACAGAGACATTGAGTTGAGTTACTGCCAATGCCTGTAATGCCTTTTACCTAAAGCTGCGATGCTTGAATCTGTTGTATGAAAATTGCTCTCAGTCTTGCACTACAAAGCAATATCCTGAATAACTGCAGCCGAAGGAACATTTCTTTCAGCTCTTTTTTTTTCCCTTTTCCATCCACCTTCAAAAATGGGGAATAGCTTAGCAAAGTGTTTACAGGCATTTTGTATCTGCTGTACAAAAATCATGAGAATAGTTATTTTTCACGATGAAAATGAAGGCAAATATACATGTCCCAGGATAACGTTGCAGGATCCAATCTGTGTCAGTCACCGGGACCTGAGGCTTAGTCATCCAAGCTTTCGGACTCATGCTGGAACCCATCCTCAAGGAACTTCTCCAGTGGTGGGATTCAATTTTTTTTACTACCGGTTCTGTGGGCGTGGCATGGCTTGGTGAGCGTGGCAGGGAAAATAATGTAAAATCTCCATTCCCACCCCACTCCAAGGGAAGGATACTGCAAAATCCCATTCCCTTCGCACCCCACTAACCTGCGTTCCAGTTTCATTCTCACGTGCAGGGCAACAAAAGAAGACACAGTCAATCAGCTGAGACTCCGATCAGCTGGGACTCAGGAGGCAGAGAATAGATGGGGCGAGGCCAGTCATAGGTGGTATTTGCCGGTTCTCCAAACTACTCAAAATGTCAGCTACCTGTTCTCCAGAACTGGTCAGAACCTGCTGGATATCACCTCTGAACTTCTCCCTAGCAGTGTGTGTCCCTGAGCATGGGCTTCAGCACAATTCCGAAAGCTCAGGAAGACAAAACCTCTGATCCCACTGACCAATCCAGATTGGATCCTGCATAGTTATTTTTCTTCGGTTGCTGTGCCAAACAACAGGACATAAAAGAAGGCATCCACACATTTAACCAATCTCCAAAAGAAAGGGGCTGGCTTTCAGGTTGCTAAGTGGAGCATATTTTTGCTACTGCTGTAGTTGGCTTCTTCACCAGTATTTTCGGTGCATTGAAGCTTCACATGCATAATAGACTGTTTTCACCTGATATCCAAATATCTGAATCTTCTTTGAGAATGCAAACTCTGATACATGTTGTGTGCATACATTTGATCACTTTTTCTTTTGATACATATCATCCTGCCGGGGGGGCAGGGGGGGGCATAGCACTATGTATGTTTTCTTACACATAATTTTAAGCTTC